ACGCGACGGCCTGGCAGTGCCATTTTCCAAATGTGTCTCCGCAGTTCAGCGGGGAGACGACCGAATTTTGGGAAAGCTGCAGCTCTCACTGGGAAGAGTCAATACCACGGTCGTCAAGTATGATCAATCCCAGAAAGGTTCGAAGGACAACTCACCGGAAAGAGATTCCTGCTCTTGCTGTTTGGAGGGCATCGCCGCGGCCTGTTGTCTTGAGAGGACCATCGCCGCCTGCTCTTTCATGATCTTGGTCTGTAGTCTCATGATACTCGCCAACGTCTCTTGGGTATCTACTGCCATTTTCCCCCGGTCAGTCTTTTCGCGGTCAATGCTGCTTTTAACGGAGTGTGCTTGCCTTGAAGATCTTTGACTCGGGCGACATCTACTGCGGAGGCATTTTCTGCGACGCACAAATTTGCAAGTTCAGAAAAGGTCTTCGATTGCTGAGCCTGAACTTTGTTGATGGCCTTAAGGCCGTCGGTCAAGCTCTTGATGAGCTTCGCCGATTCGTCCATCTTTGTGGGCTTGAGGCTGACTCTCGAGTTGAGGGTTGAGGTACGCGGGAAGGGTGTGGTGGATATCAGTTGCAGATCACGAAGATTCTGAGTGTGTGCGATGGAAAGAGCGAAGAAGGTAAGAGAGAATATTTCAAGTGTGGGAGATGGGAGTGTGGAGGATGGGAGTGTCAAGGTGTAGAAGGTAAGATATAGGTAAAAAGAAAAGGGCAACGCTAAAGTTTCGCCATATAGAAGGCACACACCTGACCTTGCTCTTTCCAACGCCAGATAGGCACCTTCGAATTTACTTATTATGCACAAGTGAACAATGTCTGGTTGAAGTCAAGACTCAGGGTCTTAGCCTAGTGTGAAGGAACAGTTAGTGGTAATCCACTTCACATAGCAGTAAAAGTTATTGACCTAGTTCTCCTTGTCAGCAGACAAGACTTCACAATCAAATCTACTTGCTGTATTATCTCAAAAACTTCAATGGTGGCATCTGATAAAGACTAGGCAGCCATAGTGGCCTGCAATTTAGGGGCCAAATGTCGACTGTCCCCGCTTGATGCTAGTCCTTCTCACTATGCGTGATCACTCATATTGACGACCAAGCAAAGCTCTGCTGCTTCACAAACAGAATTTTCTTTTCAAGATGGTCGGCAGGAGCAGGCTTAGGGATACAAGACCTAATTTGTTTCCTCTCAAGACCTTCGAATTTTGACAAAACCACTACCATCGAGGTGGGTAAAAGAAGTCGCATCAACCACCTCGACTCCGAGGCCAGGGCTACCAAGATGGCCCCGAACTTGCAACCTGAGCCTGATGAGCAGATCGAGCTTCTGCGACATGAAGATGATATAATCTCCAGCATCATGAGTTCCACCAGCCTGATCATCTCTTCCTCCCAGCAGCTCGACAAACAACAGACCGCCATCGCCAGCCTGCTGAACACAGCAAGCAAGGTTTATTCCAAACTTGACGAGGCTGAAAAGCTCTCAATCGGAAACACGCATTCTTCGCTATTGTTGGCCTTAGCTGGAATCACGCAGGCCGACGGCCAGCAGGACCAAGAACTCCGTCAAGGTGCAATCACCCTCCTTTTGAAGGCAGCAAGCAAAGTTGTCGAGTCGGTCCAGAAAACTAAAAAATCTCCCCAGGCTCGCAGTCAAGGTATTCAAGCTCCCCTCTATCGTCAATGAGAGACTTTCTAACTATTGAGATAGACCATGAGTGCTACTTCAATCGACTCCCCAACGAGCTTAAGGACAAGATTTGGAAGTTGTGCCTCCCGCCTGGTAGAATCTACGAGCCGATCACATACTACAATCACCAGGAACACGACCCAAGAAAAATTCTTTTCTATCAGCACTGGGCACCTCCGACTTTCAGAGAGGTCAACAGAGAGGCTCGCGAATACTGCATGAAGGCTGGCCAATTCCGCTTCGGCCACTTTGAGGACGCATTGGGCCACGGCACCATGAGATCGATCTGGTACAACAATGATCTGGATGCCATCTATGTCTCTGGTCTTGCACAGTACTGGTACCTCAGCCACCTTCAGGTGAAGAACCTCATCATCGGAGACGCCATCGTCCTTGACCGGGACGAATGCAGAGAAGTGCTCACAAGCGATTGTTACGGGTGTGAAAACCTTACAATCGCCTATCAACCCCGCGGAGCTCCCATCGAAGAGAACAAGGGACCGACTCGCGAGGCAATGGAAGCTACTGAACCAGTCTTCTACCCCGTCAAGGATGATGAGCGCGTCTGCGCTGAGATAGTGGACGTGGAAGATTGGCGCGAAGGCCTGCTGAAGACCTGGGCCGAACACAGAGATGAGCTAAAGGAGATCTTCTACGAGGATGGATCCAAGACGAGAGACGTCACTTTCCGTTCTGTGGAGGTTTTCCGGAAGCCTCGCATCGAGAAGGAAGGTTATCATTTCAGAAGATACCACACAAACGGTGCATAAGCCAAGGACCTCTCATATTCCTGCCTTGCCACGATCGCTTTTTGGTATCGCCTTCGTTAGATAGTTAGACGGCCGGAAACACCCTGCCCAACGGGACTGAGGGGGAAGAAGGCCATAGCTATCAACTCAAAGACAGTCTCCACTCCGGTTTTCAAGCTAAAAACGCGACCTGACTGTGGTCCTTTTGATGCTCACATAGATTGTAAATCATTACGGCTAGATCATTCTCAAGATAAGCGACTGGGCGCGTGGAACACCGTGATCGCCGAGAACCTTCGTCCAGACACCTGATCCTTACAAGAATGCCAAGCTCGCCTCGCATCAAATGGCAAGGTCCCTTCTGTTCACGCGCTCCATGTCGGGGTTTGGAACCAGAGTCATCAAGGCTTCTAAACACCCTGCTGAGGACCTTCCGGTTCTGGTTGTGGTATGCGTTGTAGATCATTGCCAGGCTTTTAGCTATCACCTCATGGACAGCAACATTATGATGTGAGTACAAGCGGCCGCCTCAGTTCTTCGCTCAACTCGTGCTCGTTTACGTGATTGAGGCTGCTTCTGCTGCAAATTTGACACAGGGGGGGGGGGGGGGGGGGGAAGGACGTCAGTCGTTTAAACATCAGAGAAGGCTTGGCAGGTAGTCGAAACCGTCGTTGATATTGCTGTCCTTACACTTCTGAGCTTCGGTGAAGAGGCCACGACGATCGACCTCCAGGGATTCCGTAGTCTGCGACGGTATCTTTAGGTTACCAGTTCTTTGCACTAATACTGCAACGACAACAGTTTTACTTGGAACGTACAATCTGTTAATGACTCGACCTAGGTGTTTCAAGGTACTCCAAGAGCCAAACTCACACTCGCACCTGCTGGTTTCGTTGGCATATTTGAGGAGGAAGGAACTGCTCCTGCCTTGGACCTGCCTCCCCGGTAAAGAGTGAAAGAGGGCCTACTTGAACTACTTCCGTTTTCAAAATCCTTCCTCTGAGATTCTTCTCTTCAGCAACCCACACGGCCAAGACGTGTCAGGTGAGCTGAGTCTTTTCGCCCTTCCACATTCTCAGCCCTTCAAATAACATCTCGATGTCGGTGCACCGAGTGGTCACTGTTTTCTCAGCCAGACTCCTAAGAAAGGTTCGTCTTGGCGTCTTCATTCACAATATCAACTCAAAGCTGACTTCCTCATGGCACAATTCAACAAGCCCCACGAAGCGCAACCCACAAACAAGCCTCCAAGTTGGGATCACCGGTAAGCTGATTCGATTCCGTTTCCCTCAAAACCGATCATGTTGCTGACTGCAAGCTCGAGGCCCAGAAAATGGCACCACAGCATTCGAGAATGGACTTCCCTCGGTTCCAGGAGCTGCCTGCTGAGATCAAACGCAAGATTTGGATCGAAGCCCTCCCTGCGCCACGGATCTACGAGCCAAACAACCACGCAACCTGGATAAGTGTTAACCATCCGACTCGATTCTACCGCGAGTACTATCCTCCCCGGGTCAGAGAGACCTGCAAAGACGCCTATGATGCCTGTATGTCGGTTGGTCGTTTCACTTTCGGCTACTTTGACAACTCTAACATCCGAGGCCTCTGGTACAACGAAACGCAGGACGCAGTCTACTATGCGACCTGCGACCAGTGGTACAATACACCCTTGAAGGGCTTGAGAAAGATCTACATCTCTATTGAAGTCGCACTTTTAATTTTCCTTGAGGAGGGTTTCAAGACCCAAACCCTCGGTGCTTGCCGCCACCTTGTCGTAGCGCTTTACTTAGACAAGCGGCGTGAAGTAGGAGATGTCAGAACTGAAGGTTTTGCGACGACGGTTCCAGTCTTCAGAGATATGAGAGACGACGATATCATGGTTGAAAAATCGGCGGTAATGCACTATTTCACAGGGCCGTTTCCGGGGCTGTTTGAGAAGTTTCTGACATGGGGCCATGTCAAGGGCATGTTGTTGCAGAAGAGAGAGGAGATCATCCTCGAAAACTCAAACGAGCCTTGGAATGCGTGGATGAATAAGGGGCCCTTGCTCCTCGAGGCTGTAGAGGTCTTCAGGAAGCCGGATGTTGGGATGGACCCTGAAAGACTGTCTTAGGGCTTTGGTGATTCTTTCTAACCAGATAGAAGTCTTGCGTCCTAGCTCAGACTCTCGCTAGGCAATGCTACATACCTCAGCTACAGAATATTTTGAGGCGTGAGTAAGGCCGGTAAACGAAAGCTAGGTTCCATGGTCCATCCATGTCACTCTACAAAAGAATTTGTATGTATAAGAGCTCGTGGTTCGCGGAAGATTGACACCATGACCTCATTCGTCAGATCTGTCATATGGGGGAGACGGCGATAGGCATGAATAGTGTACGTTTTGAAGACCTTGTGGATATCAATTGATGCGTGACTAGCTATCGTACGATGAAGAAACCAACCCAAACGCCTCTTCTCCCAATGGAAAGTACCCAAATACGGTACATATCAAATCCTGCGTGGATCATCAAGGATCAAGCTGAAAGTCATCCAAGCTACCTTCTATATCTTGTCCTCTAGTCAAAGTAGCTCGGGCGAGCTTTAAGGACCTCGATCCCGGAGAACTTGGGAACACGGACAGGGCTGAGATGCTTCACGTTGACGACGTGGTCCTCCCATATCTGGGCAACAATGCGCTTGACATCGCCCCAGGTTGCGACGCTACCGACGTCGTCAGAAAGTTCCTTCGGGTAGTCATGGGTGCTAATAGGATCGGCTTCCTGTAGCGGGAAAAGCTTGGCAGGCAGTCGAGGGCTTGCAAGGCAGGAGCGGATATCCCACTCCATGGTCTGCATGAGAATGACCTCCTTGCAGGAGGTGAAGTGATCGAGGATGGTGTCCATCTTGGCGGTGGCATCGGCCTTGCACATAAATCTATTATGCGGGAAGGCGACACGGACGATGCGTGACATATCGAGGTTGGCCCAGGTACGCGGCTCTTCGCGGACAAAGACGATGTCCTCTGAATAGTTGTACCAAAGTCCTTTGTATGGGCCACCGAACAAGCCAAATTCGAAGCCACCTGCCTCAAGGAATGCCTTGTTGGCCTCTTTGCAAGCGAGTCGGAGCTTGGGCGTCTTGTGGGCAGTCACACTCATTTCAGTGAGCCCGGAGGCCTGGCGCAAGACCAAAGCCGGGTTAGGCGCGCCGTTGTTGGCGGCAATCGGGGCTCGGAGAACACGAGAGAAGTGGGCATCGACGTTAGAGAGATCAAAAATGCGTCCGGCAGGGAGAGCAAGCTTCCAGATCTTCATGCGAATTTCGACAGGGAACTTCTGGAACTGGGGGAACTTGCTACTCTTGCTGTGGGAATGGCGGGAAAGCTTGGAGTCTGGAAGAGGAAAGCCCAGGTAAGAGGAGAAGGCCGCTTTGACGGTGTCTCGCTCGCCTGCTTGATCGATGTCAGCGATGTGCTAAAGACAAAGAGAAGAGAAAAAACGTGCTCTTGCGACTGTGACGAGTGGACTTCTTACTCTCAATCTGCTTGATCTTCTCCTTCAATTCAGAGTTCTCCTGGTTGGCAGTCTCGAGACGACTCTGAAGGGCCGCAAGTTGGGCGGGCTGGGTTGCGTTTGGGAGATTTGCAACCTCTGTGGTGACGGCGGTGCGAATGTAGTCCTGAATTGAGACCATCATGGCATTTGAGGCTGCGGCCATCGGGTCGGCGGGGGTGGATGTGTTGTCCGCCATGATGAGTTTCAGCTACCAAGATGAGATGAGCAAACGGGGTCCTGATAAGCTGAGTCTAGATAGGTCGCTTACCAAAGCAATGGAGAGAAAGGAGCTATTTTGATGGGCAGCTTCTGTAGTGATAGCAAAGTAAAATGTTCATGCGATACCGATGATGTAGCAAGTGATTGCGATTTGTGCCAAGGCCAGTGAAAGGCGTCGCAATATGACGGCTCCTAGGCGATGAGACTTGGGGCCGTGTCGCGTGCGCGGATGGTGGAAGAGAAGCCGCAGTGATGCAGTAGGACTTGCCAAAAGTCAGCAAACCGTCGTCTGCTTGTCCCTTCCGTTGTCGTGCCGCGGAGACTGGACGTGATGCCGTCCAAAAAGCCCACGACGGTCGGCCTGGCAAAGAGATGTAGTTGAAAAAGGCGAGATGAGTGCGGGAGATATCCAGCAAGGTTACCTAAGGTTGGAATTAAGGTGCTTGCCACCCTTCGGTTGACTGCCCTGGTTGGGGAAGGAAGGATCGCTTCCTGTGGTTCGCCCCTTCCTCCCGCCCAATTTAGAAGGTTCAGAGGCACTGGCAGGGACCTTTGTGACGGTACCTTGATACTTAGGTATCTCTATTTCCGAAGCACCAGTGATTCAGCAGGTGCGGGCCAACGTTCCTGTACCCCAAGTCTAGGTACCTACCTCAAGCAGCGTGGCAGCCCAGTAAGGCCCCTCAAGAAACCGCCCCTCTCCTTGTCACGCTGGAGCGGGAGCAGGGATCTTCACCCAGGTACACGCGTTAGTGACCGGCCGGGAGCCATCACTGCGGGCTCAATCTCACTTCCCGCGGCCGACGCACTGACCTTCAGTTCAGTCGAATCTCACTCTTACTCTTACTGAGATGTGATGAGTGACAAGTATAGACGTAACGGGCTGTATCCGTAGACACATTCATCATAGATTATGTGTATGGAAACTCAAGGTTCCGCGATGCCATGAAATTAGTTGTAGGGCGAAATCCTAACAAGGAGGTCACGTCGAGGACCTTGCCGCAAATGCTCTAACATGAGAGACAAGCGGATGAAAGGCAGGAAACGACACAAGTATCTATCTACACTTAATCGCCTGTAACGAATTGATGAGAACAACATCCGGAACCAACGGAATAAGAGATGCGTAATCGAAAGCAACAGGTCTGAGTGAGCTCATGCAGAATCGATGAGCCGCACTTTCAGTTCGTCTTATCTCTAGCACTTCCTACATGAAGAACAGGCCGGTCACGCCGGTTAGACTGAAACCCTACATGCAAGTAGCCGCAACGTCCGCGCGTGGGGGAAGACGTTCCAACCTATGGACAAACAGACCGGGGATGGTTGGCCAATCATGACGAGGCGGGATTGACGCCTCGCAATTGTCCAATCCTGTCACATCTAGTGCCTTGCTGACGACCGGGTTTTTGTCTAAGGACCGAGGTGGTCTAGGTATCCTCCTGAACAGGCATTTATGAAATCCCCCGGTCTTAGAGACAAGCGGGCAGTGAAGCCGTGTTCGTGACGGACATGCCTCATCTTCACAAATTTACACGATACTCATTCAAGAATCCGAGAACCAGTTTCTGTCATGACATCGTAAGATTTATCAAGGAACATGTGTGGTCTATCTTATCAATAAATCTTTTCTTCCTCTCCTGAAAACAATACATTGAGTATGAAATGAGAAGTTGGCTATTCTTACCGATCCGAAACAGTGATCCGCGGAACGAAGCAGGGTGACTATCATTCAAAAGACAAGTCTCACTCCACGTTGGGAGCAATGACAGTGTAGTTCCTCCATCCACCATTTTCCCTCGCAAATTCCGTCGCCTCATGATGCTCATCCAAAGAGAAAATCTTGATCTCCGCGCCGCTCTCCCTCCCGATCCTCAGCTGACCTCCCTCAACCATGCGAACCAGCTGCAGCAGCGTCGGACGCTCACACATCCACTTGCCAATCAACTTCAGATTCTTGAGCCCAAACACAGCATACGGTATCGTCAGCGTCTCACTCGCGCCGCCGCTGAGGATCACCCTTCCCTCGCGCTTCAGGGTGCGCACCGCGGCCTCGAGATACGGCGGGTTCTTGAGCTCGCCGGGCGTCCAGTCGTTGAAAACGTCGGCTCCGGCTCCATTGGGCGTGGCTGCGAGGATCGCCTGCGCATCGATGTTTTCGTCACCTGTCATCACCACCGTCTTGAGACGAGGGTTGTCGCCGAGCTTGGTACGCATTGCTGCGAGCTTGGATTCGCTTCGGCCCAGGGCGATGACGTTTGCGCCGACGGTGAGAGCGACTTCGACGGCTAGACCGCCAAAGGAGCCACCTGAGGGTCCGATGACCACGGTCTCTGCTACTTTGATGTCCGCTGCCTCGAGGAGGGCGCCGGCGGCAACGGAGTAATGCGCGATAGAGCTCAGCGCCGCAAAGTCGTAGCCAAGTTCACCAATGAGGCGCTTCTCGTCGAGAGGGTAGACGTTCTCGAGAGGCACCTTCTGATACTGCTGCAGCGAACCATCACGCCACTCCTTCATCAACTTCTGCCCCGCGTCGCCCACGCCGCCGAGATGACCGATCATAACCATGGCGTTAACGGGGTCGTCGCGGCCGCGGGTAGTGGCGTCAACGTAGACGAGATCACCAGGCTTGACGCGCACGGCATCCGGGCCGACGGCGTGGACGCGGCCGATGGCATTGGGGTTCGGGACGAAGGGCGGGTGGACGTTGAGCTGCGGGAGCTTGCCGGTGTGGGCGAGGTGCGTGTAGGGCACGATGGGCGCGGCGAGAATCTTGACGACGACTGTGCCTGTGGGAGCGTCTGGGATGGGGAGGTCGATTACTTGGAGGGGTTTGGAGTAGGATGAGAGCCAGAGGGCTCTGTTGCCTTGTGCGGAGCTCATTTTTGATAGGTAGATCGGGCTGAGTATAAGATGATGGTTCGTGTAAGTGGACTTTGCGAGAATTGAAAGGGTTTAGCTTTCAGGTGATTGATGTAGTCGTTTGCCTCGTCTTTCTTATACGCCGATACATTTTGAACGAATGCGGTATGTTGCTGGGTTTTATGACTCCTTTAATCATGGTCGAAAGCTAGGGGCTGAAGCTACGTTTCTCGGACCTGATGATGATGCCGCGTTCCCCATTTATTCAAATAAGGAAACCGGTGGCCGAAGCTTTCGGCCCAAGGAGAGAGCTACAATCCGTCAAGGGCCCCCACTTCAAGGCACCGCGCGGGAGGGGCATTTAGTGGTGACGGAATCGAGTGCCGCGGAGATCGGCGGGCCGCTGGAGGACTGTGGCACGAAACTCAGTTGCCAGCTAGCACGACTCGGGTTTGGGATGAGACCAGGGGGGCTTGGTTAGATCCATTGTCAGTTTTCACCTTACATCGCCTATGCCCCAGAGATTTTGGGCCAGCGAGCTTTGCATTCTTAAGTCTTGAGGTGTTGCAAGAAGCTGCGGCAGAGAGGACGGGCGGGAGTGGACCTGCATTAAGGTATTCGTGGACAAGGTACTTCGGTTTCGGCCGGACAATGTGCGTCAATGTCCTTCTCATGGCCGCTTATGTAAGACGGCCAACGACATGGCAACTTGCTCAACGTCGGTTTGACCTTGAAGACGTTATCCTACATGAATCCATTCTCAGCCTGTCATCAACTGCTTTACTCATTCAACTCAACCATCCCATTGGTTGTACAAGTCATGATGGTCGTCAAACGGAAAGAAGGAAACATCGCTGTCTCTGAGCGGTAGCAACTTCGAGGAATGTTCTTCGCGCCTTAGCAAGATCGGAGAAAGATTACCCCTTGCAGCGGGAACGGAAGTGGCTTGAGCTAGCCTCATACAAGTAATTAGAAGTCATTGAGTTGCGGAGGATATATGTTGAGCGCTTGTTCTTTGCTTGCCTTCAGCCTTTGAGTATCCTACGGGTCGAACATATAGAGTGCCACCCCAAATGACAAAGGCCCTAGACATATATGCCGGTTTGTCTTGAACAAACAAACCGCGATGAAAGACTCCAAGCCTTTGTTCGATCAAGGGAATTCTTGGATATCTTTATGTGCCATGTTGCTGCCTAGTGGTCTAGCCTTCGGCAACGCTTCTGTCTTTATCCTGCCCTCCCTCCAAGAGAGGAGGGGCCAAGTTCCTCCTCACGATCGATGGTCTTTGCATAAGGCCCTGGAGCATGGCATATTATGAGGCTTCGACACATCCCATACCATTCCAGCTTCCTCAGCTGAGGTTTGGATGAACTTGTTATGGAGATCTTCAAGGAGAAAGAAACTGTTCGGGTACAAGCCCCCTTTTGTCAGCTCAAGAGAATAACTGTTCATTATAACAAATCCAGTTTTCGCTAGTTTGTTACTCTTGAGAACACACACAGTGTTCTTGCTGCTCACATCTCTTGAGGTAGGTGCAGCTCATCTCATCAATGCCTCGAAAAGACACCTGAGTGAGATGAAGTGAAGGATGGATAATCGAGACTGGAATACACACCACATCATCACCTGAATACTTCAATACCGCTACCAAGCGACCTCATGGGCGGTGTGAGCGAAGGCACATTCCGCTTCATTACAGTATAGGGCTGTTGGCCAAAAAAGGTATGTTCTTGACCCTGGGCCCTTTCCCTTTCCCTTTTCCTTTCACCTCTGTTTGGTCTTTTTTTCTTGCGCGCGCAACAACATCACCACCGACTATCCATCACATTTCATGCCCGTAAGACTTTTATACCAGATTTCCATCTCACCTAATCTTCTAGATTGTTAACATCCATCTAGTTGCTTCGGCCTTTGCGCGCTTTTCACAAACAGTCACTATCACCACTACCACCACAATGGCCCCTCGCTCATGGGCCCAGATTGCCGCCACGGGCACAACGCCCAGCCCCAGTCCTCTGCGCCAAGAGGTCTTAGTCAACCAGCAACCCTCCCCACATCCAGCTCCCCCTCTGCCCTCTGCCGCCGACTTCCCATCCCTCACGGGATACACTGGGGAGG